TGTCCTACAGGGTTGCTATGAGTTGGAATTGACTCGATAGCAGTGGGTTTGTTTGGTTTTTGGTATTCTTTATATGGTTCCACAAAATTTTCTTCCAGTCTGTAGGTTGCCTCTTCACTTTGTTGTTAAAGTCCTTTGTTGAACATAGGGATCTATTTTTGAAGGCCTGAGATCTTTGAAGTGACTATATATGGTTGACTTCCATGCCTCTGAAATCTAAATTTTAGTTTTGAATATCACCATCTCCATATAAATCCTTTCCTTGTTTGTCTTGTATTTGTAGAAATACTGGCTGTTATTACCTTACCAAGAATCCACTCCAGGCTTTGTAGTATAATTTACATAGAGATCTTAAGTGTAAAGTTCCTTGAGTTCTGACAGAAGTATAAACCCAGGTATCCCACACTCCAATCAAGGATGACCCATAAAGTTCCATCAGGCCCTTTTCAAGTCAGTCCCTCCTGCTAGGGCAGTCACAGTTGTGCTTTCTACCAGCATAGATTAGTTTTCTCTATTCTAGACTTTGTTATGGCTGCTTCCTTTCATTCAGCTTAATGTCTGAGAGATTCATACATGTTTTTGCATGTTTTTGCATGTATGAATAGTTTAATTGCTGAATAGTATTCCATTGTACAGATATACCAGTTTGTGTGTATATCTTCTGTTGATAGACATTTGGGATGTCTCCAGGTTTGGGCTATTATGAATAAAGCTGCCCTGTACATTCTTGTAAAAGTCTTTTTGTGGACATATGTTTTTACTTCTCCTAAGTAAACACCTAGTAATGGTACTGCTGATTCACAGGGCAGGTGTAGGTTTAGCTTTTTTAGAAACTGCCAAAAAGTTTTTAAAAATTACTGTACCATTTACTCTTTCACCAATAATGTATGAGAATTCTGGTTGTCCTACATTGTCTTCTATAGTTGATGTTGTCCGTATTTTCCTTTTGACCATTCTGACGGGTATATTGTGGTATATCTTTACAGTTCTAGTTTAGATTTCTCCTGTGGCTAATGATGTTGATAACTTTTTCAAGTGCTTTTTATATCTTTTCTGGAGGTGTCTGTTCAAGAGTTTTATCCATTTGTTTATTAGGTAGTATATATTGTTCCTTGAATAGTAGGAATTCTTTCCATATTCTTTGTAGAAGTCTTTTGTCCAATATATGCATTTCAAATATTTCCCCTAATCTATGGCTTCCCTATTCATTTTAACAGACTTTTTTGATGAGCAGAAGTTGTTAACTTTGATGAAGTCCAATTTATCATTTTTTTCTTCATGATTAGTTCTTTCAAACAAATACTTGCCTACCTCCTAGGTTGCAAAGATTGGTTCCTCTGTTTTCTTGTAAAAAATACTGCATAGTTTTTGCTTCTATGAATAGTTCTGTGGTTCATCTCATGTTAAGTCTTACATATGGTGTGAG